AAATTATTTTCGACACTTTGAGCAACATGTTGGAATGTCATTCCATCTCGAAACCAGTTGCTCAAACGTCGAACAAAGGTAGCGCCGCGGTGCCTTGGAGCATGGTCTGCCGCCATCCCCGAGCGATGATCACCCACCGAGGTACCAACTCCTTCGCGCTGAGGCGGACGTGCAAGCTTTGCGGCGAATTCCGCCGCGGCGGCTGGGGCCTTTCCATGCTGGCTGGCGCTTGGAAATGTCAAGGGTGCCAAATCTTGACGTGGCGGTCCTGCTGTTCGATAGCGAGTTCGCCTTCTGGCTGCGCATCATGCCGGCGAACGACGCGCGCCAGTTCTGCAGCGCAGCGGTGCCGTGGGCACTGCCGGGACCGAAAAGCAGCGACGTGAGCAAGACTGCGTCGCGTAAGGTGAAATGCCAACTCCACGCAAGCAAGAGGCACGGGTTAGATAATTAGGATACCGGATCACTCATACTACCACTAGGCTTAAGTCGTATCAATCGGCCTGAAGTCGTATCACGCCTGCGTGCGCGCAGTGTTTCGTATAGATTTTGATAGTTCTTTATTTGATGGGTTATTGATTCGAACACTTTTTCATCGCTGTGCGCAATGTTTTGTTGACATGATTCTATTTGACCCTACTAGCCCTAGCGTTAAGTCGTATCAGCTCGTAGAAGTTGTATCGGGAGGCCGTGCGCCTGGAAAAAGTTCAAGTTTGGCATCACCACAACTTTTAGTAATTGGACGATTTCATTGTTTTGGGGCCGTGCGCCTAGAAAAAGTTCAATTTTTGTATTGCGTTGATTTATAAAACTTATATTATATTTCATTATTCTTTCAACGGGGCAAACGCTGGTTGCTGCTTTCTGCTTGCTTTCTACTTGCTTGCTGCTTGCTTGCTGCTCCTTGCTGCTGCCTCCTGCTGCTGCTGCTGTTGCTGCTGCCTCCTGCTGCTGCTGCGGCCGCGGCTTCCTTCTGCTGCTGCGGCCGCGGCTTCCTTCTGCTGCTGCGGCCGCAGCTTCCTTCTGCTGCTGCTGCTGCCTCCTGCTGCTGCTGCTGCCTCCTGCTGCTGCTGCTGCCTCCTGCTGCTGCTGCTGCCTGCTGCTGCTGCTGCTGCTTCCTCCTGCTGCTGCTGCCTCCTGCTGCTGCTGCCGCTGCCTCCTGCTGCTGCTGCTGCTTCCTCCTCCTCCTGCTGCTGCTTCCTCCTCCTCCTCCTGCTGCTGCTTCCTCCTGCTGCTGCTGCCGCTGGTGCAAACATTTTGCCGAAAAAGAAAATTACAGTCTCGGTCGCCTTGTTTGGCGCTGGCGGGAGATACGGGCGGGAGACGCCAGCAGAGAGAGGGAATGTTTACAGAAGGCAGAACTTATGAAACATTATGAAACATTCAAGCGGAAGCGGATGTTGACAGCGGTGTGCCACTGGGTTTTCAGATTTTAACGTTGTTAATATGATAGCAGGCTATTTGGTTCAGTCTTGACTTGAGGATGCCACCTGTAGCTGGTTTTTTTCTCCGGACTTGTCCGAAAGATTCCAGACTCAAATCCACGCAGCAGGTGAGACCCTCGTCCCTGACTCCATCACCACTGCCGCTCGGTTTCGACTTCGTTCATGACTGATGACATAGGTGAGGCTCAGCCAATTTTGCTTTGGCAGTATGTATGTACCGTTTCTTCAGCGCCGGAAGCAAACGGGGTTCTTTCAAATAGCTACCACCCCCCAAAATACACTGTTGTTATTGGGCGGTCTTGTATAAACGCAGGGCCGCAGGGCAGTTCGGGCGTGTGCCTTAGGTCAACAATGAGGCCCCTGAGAATGACAGTTCGCCGTGGCCTGAGGGTTGGTGACCTGTGTTGCTCAACACCTTCCGCTTCGAAGATTTTCGAAGCCCCTTTCTGCCAAGGCCTCTGATGGACATTAGTTCATCGGGCTCGTCGGAGCCGGAAGTGCCTTTTGAGGGAAAGGTTCGCTTCCCTACAGGGCCCTTGCCCCGCATGGTGGCGTGATTGGTTGGCGCCAGTTCAGAAGCGGCCAAGACCGCGATCTGAGAGGTCTCCAAAATGCTGCGTCTGCCACAAAAAGTGCAGCCCATTTTCTGAAAACGCAGCAAAAGTATTGTGCCTACCACCAAAAAAAGACCGATGCGTTGTGAGACATGTTAGAATGTCACGAAGTGCCACGCCTGCCACGATTTGCAGATTGTCACCACTGGACGCAGCCTTGACGATGCGACTCGCAAAAAACACGCAACGCCATGTCTATGCTGTGCCTGCCACGCGCAAGGACGATAGAGGTCTGCAAATTGCTGTGCATGCCACGAAAAGTGCGATTCATTTTCTAAAAACGCCGCAAAAGCACTGTGCCTGCCATATAAAAACGATTTTCGACACGTTGTGTTGGAATGTCACAAAGTGCAACGCCTGCCAGGCGAAACGATGCTACGCGATCCTGCCACGTTTGCAGATTTCGCCATATAGGCACTGCCATAGGGCTCTCATGCGAACGTTTGCAGACGGCTGCGAACGGTTGCGGACGGTTGGGAACGGTGACCCCCACCTGATTACAGAGCTTTAGCCACACTTTTCCCGAATCTGTCGATTTGTGGGCTAAAGGTGTGCGTCAATAGCTGAAAGCCCCGTATGGCCGCTGAGTGGCCATTTGACATCACATGGCTTGCCGATTGTAGCAACACAGGAAGCAATCAAGTAAGCCGCCTTCACATGCCAGTTCCAGACATGTATATTATATATATATACGTGTGTGTATATATATATATTTTATAATGCATATTGTAATATATATATATATATCTACATGCATGTATGTACTGTACATGTGTATACACATGTGACCTATATGATTAGTGACGTGGCAGAGCATGACACGGTGAGTTGGCATTGGTCTGTGCCGTCGGTGAAGTGAGGGATTTGCTGGACCCTCATCGTAGCACCGACGATTTGCATTGTCGCTTGACGATACTCTTCTCCTGTCAGTTTTTACGTTGTTGCCAGCGTGGAGTGTCCATCTATTTACTGGACCGTTCTTTGCTCATGATGTGCCTTTCAGACAAGCGCTTCATCCACGCATGCTCCGAGCATGTGACAATCGTGGGAGGGGATCCCGCTTGAGGGTTCATTCCGCCAGGGTGTTTGGTGTGTTTGTAAGCAATGAGTTTTCGCAACACTCGCAGAGATTTGACGTCCAGAGGCGGTTCAAGAAAAAAATGAGAGCTCAGACGATCAGAAACGACCAAAGTTTCAGCACAGACATGTCCTGCGCACAACTCATCAAGGGAGTGAGGCTGTGAGGCACTTTTCCCCAGATGTTTAGTCTTGGACGGAAGGCAAATGCCGGGAATTTTCCACAATTTTACCTGTGATGCCTGAACAAGGCTCAAGTCTTGTGGCGCGTGGGTGTGCATGACTCATGTGGGAACAACTGCATAATATGCTCAGATTGTTCAACCTCAGAAGTTTGAAATTTTCTTTTGTTATTCCTGTGTCGATTGATTGCCGGTGTCCAGAAACGTCGGCACAATCTTTCTTCTCGCGACACGCTGTGTAACCATGGAGTGCTTTCAATGGTGGAGTCAAACCAGTTGCGCTTGCCTCAAACAGTGACATGTGAACTTAGTTTCAACTGGAAGATGATACCATGGGGGTCTGCAGAATCCTGAGCATGAGCTCATGTTGAGGTATCTCGAGCTGCCTCCAAAGATGAGCGCCTGAGGTCCGAGATCATGCCAAAAGTGGTGCGATTATTTGCTTAAAGTCTTCATCGTGACATCCCTATATCTGCCCTGGAATGCTCAAGAGGGCCCCAAACCTGTGCGATGATCCCTTCACCATCCAGACCATGATGCACAGCAAATACACATTGCATGAAGGAGTTGTGATTTGTAAGTTTGCGACGGCAAGGGGTCACACGCAAGATGATTTGGACACATTTTGAACAATGATTGTGCCTTGACTGTCGTCAAGAGCTCTTCTGTAACAAACATGGTCAATTTGGTGGTTTGGCTTGTTGGCGCGACTCACCTCAAACACCTACTAAGACCTACTATAGAACTTTTGAACTCAAGCCCTGCAAATGCCCTTCAGTTTGACATTTGGAAGTGCGACACCTTCTCAACGTCTCGGATTTTGCATGTGAACCGGGAATCGTGATATCTCGATATCTTGGGACCTGAAGGTAAGAGTGTTATTCTGAACGTAAGTGTTTTATAACTTTATAACTTACGTCTTGTAACAGGAAAGCAGGACGTGGGCAACGATTAGGTTTGATGACCATTGTTGTTTTTCCGAATCGGGGTTTTAAATTGGGTCTTGGTGCGTGTTGTTTTCATGCCAGTGACAGTTTTGATGAAATGACAGAGAGATTTCCTGAATTTTGAAAACAGATGTGAAGCTTCGGGCACCAGCAACTGCTCATTCTTGAGTATTGAAGTTTGGATAACTCTAGAACTGGCCAACTGGCGTCAACAGTCGGGACCTGAAGAAAATATATCCGTTGCATGGAGGTCCTGAACTCTCCTGAACTGAGATCTTGCAACTGTTTCAGCTGCAAGAGAAACTTGGACACGTTGACTATGTTGACTCACCAACGAAACAAGAAGTTTGGCGACTCTGCTTTGGGAAATTTGGAGATGTTTCTTACATTTGCTTCACTGTTGATGTCAGTTTGATCTTTGACTTCAAAGAGTAACGAACAATAGTTTATAGTGTCCATTCTGTAAAAGCTTGGCTACAGTTGACAATAACTGACATCAAAACATCTCAAAGCCATGTCTGACAACACAGCTGCTCTGATCTCTTTGGCAGCCCTTTGGGCTGCAGCCAAAATCCATGATTTTGGGTGAGATCTTGGACATGTCGCCACCAAATGGCTCTCAAGACCTCTGAAATTTCACCTCTCCCAAAATCACTCTGACACCAAAGTCATTTGATCAGCAAGTCCTTCAGTTTTTGCCAATTTTTTGTTTCCCTTCCTACGCAATGTGAAGCCATGACCATTTGGTTTGGCCCCGACGTGGGGCCGGGTTCCGTGTGCGTTGGTCCTGTCATTCAGATGCATTTAAGGCAAGGCATGCATGTGTAATTATTTATTATTAGTTCAACAATGTTAAACAGGAGTTTGAACATGGCCATGTGAATGTTCAACGAAAGTACCATGTCAGTTGATCTTCCCAATTTTCCAATGTAAATTGTTCAATCTCCAAGAGATTGCCGTGATGTTTTGCTGCACGAAATGAGGTGCGCATCGAGAAATGGCGCAAGCAACCGCTGCGCAGCTTACTTTTTGGCGCCTCGAAAGATGAGAAGACTGAGGCGTCGATCAGCATCGAAAATTCGTGATGACCATCGGAGTCTTTTGTGGATTGAAGACCGATGTCTGTTTTTTTGTTTTTTTTCGGATAGGACTTCAGTCCCGGATTTCACGAATCGATGAACACATAGAATCTCAAATTTGAACTGTTCTGTCCGGATTGATCCATTTTGGGGACATGAAAACCGGGGCTGCCGGATAGCATGACGAATTCGAGTTCGTTGTTGAGTGAGTTGTTCCCATCACCACTCACTCCGTGATTTTCTCCATTCCTTCAGGCTTTGGAGAGATTGCACTTGTCCCACAAACAACAAAGCTTAAGGGTTTATAATTTTGACCAAATAAAGAGCTGCTAGATTTTCCACCCATTATGTGAGTTTCATATTTTTTCCGGTTGAAATCAGTCCCCCCAGGACTCGGTTCAAGGGAAGATGTGGATGTTGGACCGCAGGTGTGTCCAGGCTTGTTGGCTGCCCTTGGTGTGTCCAAGGGTATGCCACAAGCACAGAGCGATGTCAGCATGCCAGGGCCACCCAGGGCCCGCCAGGGCGATGGGCAGATGGGGAGCTGGCTGATCTGGCTGAGTTGGGGTCCTCTCAGTGCAGTGCATGGTGGGTATTGGTGGGTTTGTTCTGGGCAGAAGATTTCTGCGCATGCACATTATAGTGATCCATGCAGTCCAAGTATCTCCTGATGTCACCAAGACCAAGACGATTTCTCACAACAGTAGAAATTAGAGAAAATAATAACAAATAATAACAATGATATCAGATTGTAACAACAGCAGTAGCAATAAACATCAGTAAAATATGGCTCCATATTCTCCTTGGCAAAGTGCCACTTCTGGACCACCGCCCCGCGCTTGGTCGTTTTTTTCCCAGGTTCTGCGCGGGCGTCCGGCTGACTGACACCAACAGCAGCCGCAACTGGCGTTGCTTCTGCGATGTGCGCGTGATGCTGCTGGGGGACCGCCGTGAGCTGTCGCGCACGGTGCGCTGGGTGCTGACGCCTGATGCCAGCGCTGCCCGGAGATAACGACAAAGGTGAGGGGCAGGTGGATGAGCGATATATAGATAGGGTCAATGATGTAGGAATTTCAACTTAACAAGTAGAGTTCATTCAGAATATGTTGGTGCTGCAGAGTTTTTTGAACCCTGATAGCTCACGTATTGATATTTTCGGGGAGCGTCTGTTGCAGTTCACTGGAAGGGTCACTCGGGGTCACTCCAGGGTTGACATCAGGCCATGTAACTTGGCATGTTCACAGAGTCCCAGTTGAATGGCAACAGCCACATTCCGCATATCAAAGGAATACATGTTTTGGCATGGAAATTTGTTAACATTCCATATATAAAAAACATATAAAACACATATCAAATTTAGTACTGTACATATCAAATTCCATATAATATACGTTTATTAATATACACAATCACCATTTAGCATGAAGTCCCACCGGCAATGGACAGCACATTTCACCGAGGAGATGTTTTTTCCTTTGATGCAGCTCTCTGATGCGGATCGCTTTGTGACCAGTAGCGGCGCTTTGCGAGTCAAAGCAGTGTTTTGGATTTTGTTTTAATCGATCTTTGGGATGGCTTTGGGATGGGGAGAAATCCAATTGTCCTTGTAGCGTTCGTAGCATGTGCCAACCATTTGTTTTCTACTTCTTGTGGAATTCATGGGAAAGAATTGAATCCCCACTAGGCCAAGACCTTTCAGATGGTTTACGTTTGCGACCAGGATTTGTTGTTCCACTTCTACGTATTGAAGGACTGACGGGAAACAATCGGATTCCAGATGCAGGTAGTAGCGGAGGGGTATGAATCCACCATGAAGTGAAGCCTCTAATACCGAGCGAGGCCAAAACCTTTCAAATGATACCGTCATCTTGAAATCAACAGAATATCATCTTCCAAATTTCCAGAAATCACCTGGGGATGTGTCATTTTTTTCCAGATTCGAAGTGCAAACCCGTGGTGGTTGCAGCATGCAACGTCCGCCTCGGATCGCAGGACCCCTGTCCTGGCTACTTTGAATCTGGCGCCCAAGACACTACCCTCAGGGCCACCCGGCGAGTGATCGTTTTTCAAGGTATGGGCGGTATGGGGATGGGCAATCAAGTTTGAGGCTGTATGAAGCCATCCAAATCAGCTTCAAAATGCCCAAAATCCCCAAAATCCCCCAACTTTGACTTGCTCTTCTCATCTCCTCACTTCCCAACGGAACGATTTTTTCCCACCCTAAGGCCTTGATGTATGCCTGGTGTCTGGCCGGCCCCAGCTGTATAGCCACTGCCAGCGCCGGCGCGGTGTCGGTCTACCGTGACCCCAAGATGCAGCAGCCCTGCAGGCAGCGGAGAACAGAACTGGAGCCCTGGATGCGGCCGGGGTTGCTGACGCACAGCACGGCCAGAAGTTGGGAGGTGCCAGGGTGGAAGTGACAGACAGTGAAGGGGAGTGTTCTGGGGATTCCTGGGGCGGAAACGATCATTAAACCGGTGGAACTGAAGATACTGATGTGGCAACCAAGCACACTTGGACCTCTGACCAAAGAATGCTTTATGGCTGAGCAGGTAGCTGGGATGAAGCTCCAGGAGTTGATCCCAGGGCTGCTGATTGGTGCCGGAGAGGTCCCAGCGCCGGCTGAGTTATCGGAGATGGGGATTGGGCGCATCCTGCAGCTGCAGTGGGTGGACTATGCTGGGCCTGAAGGGCCGGAAGGGGAGGCTGAAGCCGAGCCTGAAGTTGAAGAAGTTGAAGCCGTTGAATCTGTTGAACCTCGAGAAAATGGCGAGGTGCAAGTTGTCTTGCTGGAATGGAAGGATGGAGAGTGGCTTCAAGGAGAGGTTTTAAGTTAGACATGTTTTGACTACTTTGCGTTGCACATTTGCCACATAGGAACATAATGCGTTTACTTACCTATCAAAACTTGGGCTGCAAGTCAATCACGAACCAGATCAAGATCCGGTTCCAGTCCTATTCAAAGCCAGTATCATAAAGGCTTTCCTTAACCAGCCCTCAACCCCCGCAGCCTTTCCGAGTCAGGAGCTTCCTCCAGCGCTCCGACGTTGGACGCCTTGGTGTCCACGGCCTACGAGTGGTGGGCTGATGGCGCTGCGATGCTGCTGCCAAAGACTCTGCGGGAGGTGCCACGCTGTACCCAACTGGCGGTGCACTTGGTGGCGCGGAGCTTTCAGAGACTTGGGATGCCAAAGTTGATCGAAGTTGGAACCTGTTGGAAGGGGAAGTGAAGATGACATGATGGCATTGATCTTGTGTATGTTTTTTTGATGTACTACGTAATTATATTGAACTAACTTTTCACTTCTGTGCTCCAAGGTGTTTGCAGTTGCTTCTTGCTGTTCCAAGGATGTCGCTGGCAGACTCGAGGAGATATGTTGGATACCACTGGCCCCACCCTGCCTGGCCTGACGATGCTGTGGAGGTGCTGCACCCCACGGCAGAGGCCGCATCCAAGGTGCTATTGGAGGCATGCGAAGCTCATGAGAATGGAGAAAATCAGAGAGAGGCCAGGGGATCCAAAATGGGTGCTTCGTGATTCTCCAACTTCAAAGGGATTTCAAAGGTATACTAACCCCAAGATGACCGCTAAAACTTTGAACATGACAATTGAAAACAATGACCCAAATGAGATTGCAAGAACTTGAAGCAGCCAACCCAAACAGATGGGTATCATTGGTTGGTATCATTAGTATCATTAGTGGACATGTTTTGGGGATTCTTTTCAAGGGTTTCTCCGGGATTTTTTGGCGATCCGCAGGTGGCCAGCCGTTTCGCCACCTGGTTTGCCACCTGCTGTGGCCATGGCCCGTCTCTGGCCGCGGTTCGCGCCTGGCACCGCCCCGCAGTGCCGGCCGTTCACGTCGGGGCCGCTGCGCATGCTGCGCATGCGCCGGTGCCGTGGTATGGCTGGCAGCCGGGGATCCCGGGGCAGCTGCTGGTGGTGCAGGAGAGCGGCTGGGGAGCTGTGCCCGAAATCTTCAAGTCATATCTCTGTGCCCGGGAATTGGATCCAAAGGAGGTGGAACCACTGGGGAGTTTGGTCACCTTGCAGTTTACCAGCATCTTGCCGCAAGATGAGGTGGGAGATTTCAAGGGTGTTGAAAAAGGAAGACTGAATGGTATTCTGGTGGTCAGCTACAAAGTGGTTGGAATTTTGTTTAAATTCCAGTAGAAAGCAAGGAATCCACCAACAAGGTTTGATTTCACAAACTTCACTGGGTACAAGATTTCCCAAACTTTTCCCAACAATGATCAAGAGAGTCACAGAACTCCATTGTGCAGGTGCTAGCAGTGCCACACAGCTTTGAACTGGCTGATGTCCAGTGGCATTTGGTCGCTTTGATCTGCTTGGAACATCCTTTCGATCCCAACTCCTGCAGTTCTGTGACCTGCGGCCTGCAGTCCATGCCGCCCCTGCGAAGGGTGGCGTTTCTCCATGGGCAAAATTCCAAGGAGTGGTTGGTGGAGGAAGGAGCTTTGCTGGAATTGAGGACAGGACATCACATGCGATGATTCAATTGTGGTTCAGCTGGCCAAACAAAAAGTGGTGCTTCATTCCTAAAATGGGGGTCCCAACGCCATGGGTTTCAATACTAAATGTTCTAAGCTTCGATGTTTTGGCGTATCCATGTGTATCCCTATTCAGATTATTTAGAAACCCATTATCTCAAACCCTTTGAAGCCATTTGAAACCCCGATTTCAGTGGCAGTTCACCCTGTCCCGGAACCCCTTGAGGAGGCGGAAGTTGCCCACCGCTGGTGCAGCACCCAACTCCTGGTGCTGCGTACGCGACCTGTCACCGGAGCTGGTGGTCTACATGCGGGGCGCCCCCCAGGGGCGTCCGCTGCCCACAGCCATCAGGGCGGATGGCATCCCTGGGGCGCCTCATGCGGATTTCAAGGTGTTGGAGGTGAGAATCGTGACCGAAAAGGACGGGGGGGCCGGAGATGGCCGGAGATCTTTTCGGGGCTCAGGAATTTGATGTGTGTTTTTTGGGTGTTAGATGGTGTTAGGGTGTTGAGGCACAATTTGTTAGACTTCTCATTGCTTTGACCCCTCTGTAGATTTGGACATGTCGTGTGGTATTGTAGATTGTTTGGTAGATTTTGTCCCACCATTTTCTGTATATGCAATTCAACTCCCGAACTCTGATTCTTGCACAGATTCCAGGCTCTCCAAAAGACCCGGGGCAACTTTGAAGGTGGCTCTGCAGTCTCCGCTTCAGCAGTGCTTAAACTTACAGCCAGTTCCACCCTGGAAGATTTGAAGCAACGGATCCATCAATCGCTTCGCATTCCTCCGGAACGCCAGTTGTTACTACAGCTTCCAGATGTGAGTCTGAGTGGCTTTACCAGCTGGCTGGTGCCGGTTCGCTCCCCCTTGGCCAGTTTGTTGCCACATGCCCAGTTGAGGGGAACGGAGATGATTCCAACTGTGCTGCTGATGTTTCTGTCCAATGATGCAGATCTGGAATCGCTGCCCTCTATGCTGCAGTGGCCAATAGAACCGGAAGCTGAAGCAGGGGTGCCACGGCAGTTGCCTCCCATGATGCCTTTGTTGTGTACCTGGCAAACAAAGCAGACTGTGGGCTTTTTGGTGGTTTACCCCTTGTCAGAGTGAAGACTTTTCTACATCCAAAAACAGTTGGAATTGGGGAAAAATCGAAGAAAACATTATGGCATTATGGCATCACTGGGTCTTCTGGTGGTTGTCAGGTAAATATTTCAACGCAGAAACCATGACCTACTGCGTCCTGGGTGTGTTGATGGTGGCCCCGGAGCACACCTTGCTGCAGCACCTGGTCTGGCTGCGGAAACGCATCGCGGTGGGTGGCTTCGAAGTCAAGGGAGCACTGGCGTGTTCTGCAAGTTTGGGCCCTGGGCAGGTGGGGGGAAGATTTGGGGCTGGGCGTGCCGTTTTGTAAGAGAGGCGTTTCACGACTATATAGTTCTTCCATGTTCTTCCGAGCCATTTTGGGTGAGTTTCCGATCTTCTGGTCCTCGATCGTGCTGCTTCTCCAAGTGGTGTTTTGGTTCGTTTTTTCCGATTCCATCCCACACCATCCCACCAGACCCAAAAAACGCTGCTCAGCCCTTGAAGGATGCTGCAATCTCTTCCAGCCGCTGGTTTCAGATGCTGCGGATGGATATGCCCTTGATCCAACAGACGCTTGACGTGCACATCATGTGACCGTCTGAATATCCCATGAAAAGTGGGTATAACATGCGAGAACCTTGTGAAAAAAATATATTCACAGGTACTTCATTGTTTCGGCATCCAAGCGGACTGAAAGTGGGAGGTTGGGATGTTGTTATCTAGATATGGTGATTGCTGTTTGTTGTTTGGCAATGGAGAATGTGATGATTTCTTGCTGCCGCTGTTTGTTTCCACTGGTGCTTCTAGGCCTGCTGTGGGCTTTGGAAGCTCCATCAACTTTGAAGAGGCAGTGAAGGTTCTTGTTGTCATCAAATCCTCCAGGGTTGCGGTTACCCTCTGGTAATTTTTCACATAGCTATTGAACATGGCCCATTTATAGTTGATTTACCTATTAAAGATGGTGATTTTCCATAGCTATGTTAGTTTACCAGAGGGTCGGTTTCGAATCTTCCTCAACTTTCCGGAAGTGACTTCGGATGATCAACCCCCGATTCGGATCCATTCGGACTCGTGTTTTAATGGGTTGAAACCATTGAAATCCCATGGGTTTTGGGGATTTCCCATTTTTAGAACCCCCCCATTTTTACCTCTGCCAGACTTTTCAGTTACCAGGAAAGCGTTTAGTAAATGAGACTGCACATGAAAAAATCGTGCAGCCTAGCCCAACCATCCGATTCCATCGATCTTTCAATATGCATATTGAGACTTCTTTGAAACTGCAAGTGTTCGCAACTTTGCCTCCATTCCCAGAAACTCCAGCCCCTTTCAAAAAGAGGTGTGGATTTTTCCCAACGAATTTTTGCTGGCTCCGTCCAGAGCTACCCATCCTCTCACACTTCCCAGTTGCGCAGGCCGTCTATGGCCTTCACCAGCCCAGTGCGCCGCCTGTGTCGCCGCTCGAGTCCTCGGAGAAGCGTTTGGGGCTTCGGACGCCGCTCGGCCTCCAGTCATGGATAGAACTGTGGCAAAGCTGGAAATTACATCGTACATAAACTATCATAAACTTAAATATGATATATATATATAATCAAAGGAAGTTTAGGGGGAGAAACTTCCGTGTTACGGACTTTTAGAATGTCAGGGAAAGAGTTAGTCAAAGAAAGAGTTAGTCAAAGAAACAGTTAGTCAGGGAAAGAGTTAGTCAAAGAAAGAGTTAGTGAGGGAAAGAGTTAGCAAAGAAACAGTTAGTCAAAGAAAGAGTTATCAAAGAAACAGTTAGTCAGGGAAAGAGTTAGTCAAAGAAAGAGTTAGTCAAAGAAAGAGTTAGTCAGGGAAAGAGTTAGTCAAAGAAAGAGTTAGTCAAAGAAACAGTTAGTCAGGGAAAGAGTTAGTCAAAGAAAGAGTTAGTCAAAGAAAGAGTTAGTCAGGGAAAGAGTTAGTCAGGGAAAGAGTTAGTCAAAGAAAGAGTTAGTCAAAGAAAGAGTTAGTCAAAGAAATAGTTAGTCAGGGAAAGTTAGTCAAAGAAAGAGTTAGTCAAAGAAAGAGTTAGTCAAAGAAACAGTTAGCCAGGGAAAGAGTTAGTCAAAGAAAGAGTTAGTCAAAGAAACAGTTAGTCAGGGAAAGAGTTAGTCAAAGAAACAGTTAGTCAGGGAAAGAGTTAGTCAAAGAAAGAGTTAGTCAGGGAAAGAGTTAGTCAAAGAAAGAGTTAGTCAAAGAAACAGTTAGTCAGGGAAAAAGTTAGTCAAAGAAAGAGTTAGTCAAAGAAACAGTTAGTCAAAGAAAGAGTTAGTCAAAGAAAGAGTTAGTTAGGGCATTGATTGTTCCCGCAATGCAAATGGGATTGCAAGTGGTGCTGCCGGATGAGTTGCCGATGGAGTTTTGAAGGAAGTCTCGCACGAAATGCGTTTTTGAGAGATAGCAGATGCACGAAACCCTATGTTTTTCCATACAATTGCCGTCTCCGAACCTCGATGACCTACCTCTGCGGTGCGACGGGTGCGAGACGGTCTCGTGTGTGGTCGGATCATGCTCGGATATGTTCGGATCATCCTCGGATCATTCTCGGATCGGTTCCGCATTGTAAATGGGGTGTCAACTGTTTTTCGTGCATGTGTGGTCGACAGAATTCCATTGTGATTTGCAACTGTAGGATCGTTCCCGCATTGTAAATGGGGTTGGAAGAGATGCTGGTGGACGAGTTGCTGATGGAATTGCATTGTGATTTGCAACTTTAGGATCGTTCCCTCACTGTAAATGGCATTGCAAGTGGTGCTGGTGGAGGAGTTGCCGATGGAGTTTTGGAGGAAGTCTCGCACGAAATGCGTTTTTGAGAGATAGCAGATGCACGAAACCCTATGTTTTTCCATACAAAGTGTGTCCCCGAACCTCGATGATCTACCTCTGCGGCGCGACGGGTGCGAGACGGTCTCGTGTGTGGTCGGATCATGGTCGGATCATGGTCGGATCGGTCTCGGATCGGTTCCGCATTGTAAATGGGGTTTCAACTGTGTTTCGTCTATGTGCGGTCGACAGAATTCCATTGTGAATTGCAACTGTAGGATCGTTCCCGCAATGTAAATGGGATTGCAAGTGGTGCTGGTGGATGAGTTGCCGATGGAATTCCATTGTGATTTGCAACTGTAGGATCCTTCCCGCAATGTAAATGGGATTGCAAGGTTGCTTCCTGCTTTGGCTGCATGCGTAATACTATTGTCTTTTGCAGCTGGACTTCGTAAATCGTATTGGAGTGGCTGCATGAAGGCTGCGACAGTGATTTGTCAGCAGATTTTCTTCATTTTGGCGCTAGTGATTTTCCTTCTAAAAATAATTTTAAAAAGTGCTTCAAAATCGTCTTTTTTTCGCTCTGGCGTCGAGATCCGGTTTTGGAGCTATACAATTTCCGACGCCGTTGCCCGTAGTTCTATTGTGTTTTGCAACTCAGTCTCTGCAGATCGCATTGTAATGGCTGCGTCAAGGTTGCTTCGTGCTGTGGTTGCATTCGTAATACTATTGTCTTTTGCAGCTGGATCTCGTAAATCGTATTGGAGTGGCTGCATGAAGGCTGCGACAGTGATTTGTCAGGAGATTTTCTCCATTTTGGCGCTAGTGATTTTCCTTCTAAAAATCCTTTTAAAAAGTGTTTCAAAATCGTCTTTTTTTCGCTCTGGCGTCGAGATCCGGTTTTGGAGCTACAATTTCCGACGCCGTTGCGCGTAGTTCTATTGTGTTTTGCAACTCAGTCTCTGCAGATCGCATTGTAATGGCTGCGTCAAGGTTGCTTCGTGCTGTGGCTGCATTTGTCATACTATTGTCTTTTGCAGCTCGATCTCGTAAATCGTATTGGAGTGGCTGCATGAAGGCTGCGACAGTGATTTGTCAGCAGATTTTCTCCATTTTGGCGCTAGTGATTTCCTTCTAAAAATCCTTTTAAAAAGTGCTTCAAAATCGTCTTTTTTTCGCTCTGGCGTCGAGATCCGGTTTTGGAGCTACAATTTCCGACGCCGTTGCGCGTAGTTCTATTGTGTTTTGCAAATCAGTCTCTGCAGATCGCATTGTAATGGCTGCGTCAAGGTTGCTTCGTGCTGTGGCTGCATTCGTAATACTATTGTCTTTTGCAGCTGGATCTCGGAAATCGTCTTGGAGTGGCTGCATGAAAGCTGCGACCTGGATTTGTTAGCAGATTTTCTCCATTTTGGCACTAATGTTTTTTTGCTGCACGTAGATTTAGAGCAGTGCGAAGTGTGGGGCGTGAAGAGTGCAGTGTGAAGCGTGAAGTGTGAAGGAAGCAGTGTGAAGTGTGGAGTGTGAAGTGTGGAATGTGAAGTGTGAAGTTTAAGTTTGGAGTGCGAAGAGCGCAGTGTGAAGTGTGAAGTGTGAAGTGTGAGGTTTGGAATGTGA